ACACTGTCCTCCCAAATGGGCGCCAAGCCGTTCGCAACGTAAAATCTTGTTTATTATCATGTTACTTTTATCGGAAAACGCGTTAGATTATTACGAATCTCCTTTCCCGCTCCAGCTCTTCCTAGAAATAATTGAGTAAACTATGTGAGTGTTACAGAATAACGTTAAAACAACCTGACCGAAGCCAGTACTACGTATATTGAGCATTAGAAATACGTATTCGCTATTGGTCATCCGCATCTGGTTTGCTCTTATCCGGAAGCCACGTCGATCAGTTGCGAGGTCCATGCGTAGTATGGTTACTAAAGGCAATCGCTATGACACTCTAGAGCTTATCCTTATATTAATGTTTACTCCGAATGGACAGCATAGCACGTTTTCCGTGAGCAAAACATACCACGTGAGCGAGCTTTGATCTGTTGCAGGGTCCGTGTGTATGAATTATTGTCGTCTTCGTTGACGATTTGCTTCAGAGCTACTCTGGGCGTAAAAGAAGCTGAAGCATCACTGAATGAATCCTGAAATGTGTGCGAATGACCAAAATGGTGAAAACGATTAAGAAACTGTGCTTATCATAAGCGAGTCAATCATATCGTCGCAGAATATCACTTCATTTGTCATGTATATAATTGGGATAATGTCCCATTTAAATTGACTTACCACTTGTAGAGCGCAAGCGCCTATTCTAAGTTCTTAATGTTATGTAATGTAATCACCAAAAATTTCTTCTTTTGGAAGAGATCAATAATTTCCAAGCCCAAATTAAATGAGAATTTTTTTTTTGGTTTATAACTCAAATTACAAAGTGGAAATTTAAAAATACGCAATTCTTTCAATTTTTGACCAAAAAAAAACATGCTTTCCTACGCTCTATATTTCCTGGTTTAGAAAATGATCATTACTTTTTCAAAAAATATTGACTTACGTAATAGCTGACACTGCTAGAAATGAACGGATATTTGTCTCCAAAAGAAAATCAGGTATCACGTATACCCATCCTAACCAGG